GATGAACTTACTGTTCAATCCTTCACTACATAAACGAATCAAAAAAATGCGAATAATAATCTAATAATGTTCTATCGGAACTTAGAAGTAGTGTTGAACAAAATCTTACTAACAATTCACTGAATTAGTAAGGGTTTATATCTTCCAGTTGTTGATATTTAAAACTGTTATTATTCAGTTTGTTTCACCATACATACACCAAGAGCTGATAGACTCGATAAAACGTTGCGTCACAAATATTGATAGAATTGATAAAAGATCAACAGTGCAATCCAGGAAACACGTTTCCTTTTTATTAAGAATTGTTACATGGATGTATTTCTATTCCAATATTCATGTTTACATATCCTAATCGAGAATGATCAGTAGGATTGCTGAATACCAATAGTGAAATATTACAAACTCTTACATGTTAATTCGTAATCAATGAAAATATTGATGGCTATTTGTATCCAGTTGTTCAATAGATAATATATTGAGTACTTAACAAAGAAAGTAATGGATTCTAGTTTCACTGCAAAAACGAAAAAAAAACACTCGGTTTTAAGGTACATCTAGCTAGGGATTTATAAATGCAATAAAACACTTATCCAAAGTTCCATTACTCGCAACATACCGTATATACTGATACATGCACATTCAATTGTTTCAATCATTATTCAACTAATAATTAACAACTTTTTCAGAGAGACTGTTATTTATGAACGAACCAATAAGGTATAAATTAACAGGTCTCCGATTTTTGAGCGAAATTTACTCATTCATTTGGATAAATAGATTCATTAGCATTATAGCTGATATCAGTTCATAATGAAAACCCTCAATCATCAACTGTAAATCATAATTCTAATTCCTTACATTGTTTCATAACCCTCATATGGTTCGAGTTATTAAGTGAACACCCTCAAGTACAGTCTAGCATCGGTCGGTCAGTCAGTAGCAACGTAGAACTTCGTACGTACGTACATCAGTTCGAGTTGCCACACCACATTAGCACAGAGATGCAGTTATCGATTCATGAAGAATTCAGAAGATTAGAATTTGGGAGAACGCAAAGAGTGGATGCACTTGTGCCATTGCAAACGATTTTGAGCGATGTCATTCAGGGTCTCTAACCATAGGTTGCTATCATCTCGCGGTCCCCAACCAGGTAGTCTACACCTACCAACATGACTCAGTTCACTTGTCAGTGACTTCATGGACTTGTGCCATGTTTTGGTCTGGCCGCCCCTAGCTTTCTTCCAACCTACTCCTATACCACTGAACATTGCACGTCGAGGCAGTCGGTCGTTGAGCATACGTAATTTATGTCCCAGCCATCTCAACTGATGAAGTTTCACTTCTCCATCAATGGATTTACCGTCCTTACCTAGTAAGTGTTTCCTAACAACTGCGTTACTTACTCGATGGTCACAGGATATACGAGCAATGCTCCGGAGACACCTTTGATAGAATACTAGTAGCCTATGAATGCCGTCTACTCTTACCGGCCATGTTTCACTGCTATAAAGTAGGACGGGACGAACTGCTGCGCAGTAAACACGTCCTTTGGTTGATAGACGGATATCTCGCCTATGCCATAAATGACGCAAGTTGGTAAAAGCTAATCGAGCCTTCTGTATCCGTGCTGAGATTTCGTCACACATGAGACCACAAGGGCTGATGAGACGTCTAAGATGAGTGAAGCGATCGACACGCTCAACTACTTCACTCCCAATCATTAGTTTGGCTGTCGATGTAACCCAATCCTGAAGCGACATTTTGCATGTCGAGGAAGAGAACTGCATCCCAAACAGTCTAGCATCACTTGAAGGTCATCCATAAATTATAGTCTCATCACTTTTTGACATATTCGAATCTACTAACATACTTGAGTTCTGATATTAGAAAGTGAAAATAATCAATACTCTATTCCAATATCAATGAATCTATTATTTTCATCATTATAATAAGTTGACCATAAATAAGATATCGAAATACTTTAGGTATAATTATTGATTACTTTTCTCTCTCTCTTTATTTTTTATCCCCATTTCATAATGAATCCATTTTAGAATTCATTCATACTATACCATATATAAACAGAAAATTTCTTTTTTCTTTGAAAAACAAATGAGTTTTTTTCTCTCATAAAACTTTTTTTTTAAAAAAAGAGAAAGAGGTCACTTGTAAAATTGTTTAATCAAAGTGGAAAAGACAAAAATGACCTCTCCTTACCCCCCTCCCTCCCTCTCTTCGCCCTTCTACTTACCTACCACCCTACCTCCCTCCCTCCCATCATCCCTCTCTCTCTCTCTCTCTCTCTCTCTCTATATATATATATATATATATATATATATATATATATATATCACTATTGGTAAAATTACCGAGTATTATTACTCTGTTTTCTTTTTCTATCTCTATCTTAACATGATAAACATTATTAACTAACTTCAAGGAATTATTTCGAAAGAATACTGTCCACGTTTTATTGATTTTGTTAGAAATTAGAAATATTCTTTGTTGATTAATTTGTTTCTTGAAGCTAGACCGCCATGGAAAACCTGGAAGCACTGGAAGGCCGTTTCGTTCTAGTATGGGACTATTCAGCAGTGCGCATCCACGATCCCGCACCCCGCGAGATTCGAACACAAGACCTACTGGTTTCGCGCGCGAGCACTTAACCATTAGACCACTGAGCTGGCCGGCATCCAACCGTGTTAATGTCTAACTTCAACCAATCCACGAAGTTGCGCCACCGTACACCATTGTCTTCAGTGAACTGATATCTCACAACAAACCTGGTTGAACTCCACTGGTAACGGCTTCTCACTAGAACTCCAGGAGTATCTCTTGAAGTCAGTCACCAGTGAGCAGTTGATTATTATCAGAATGGGTTTTGTGGAGATTTTTAGAAATTTCACAGGTTGAAATCATGGTAGTCTAGCTTCAATTGATTCATGATTTCAACCTGTGAAATTTCTAATATCTCCACAATACCCATACTGATAATTTGTTTATGAATACTTTATATAAATATTCCCATTAAGGTATTAAAAAAGTTAAGTTGAATCAAGAATTATTGTTTTCAATAGTTAAATTCATCAGTCAATTGAAGCTAGAACACTATGGAAAAGCTTGAAGTAATGGATAGTCATTTCGTCCGATTATAGGACACCTCAGTAGTGTGCATACACTATCTTGACTCTCAAAATTCCAACCCCAAGACCTATCAGTCTGGCACGCGAACGTTTAACCACTAGATCACTGAGCTTGCCGGTATCCAACGGTGTTAATGCCCAACTTCAATTAATCCACGAAATTGAGCGACACATCCACCATTGTTATCAGTGAGTTACTATCTCACAACATGCCCGATTGAACTCCACTGGTCACTGGTCGTTTTATCTTTATTCTAATTAGTTCTTCATCAGAACTCTACACTAATAATAGATGTTTTATAAGTGAATAAACAGCCAATACCAATTAAATGGTAGTGAGTCGAAAATGAATTATTCTAATAAATATTAACTATCATCTATGTATTTCATAATTACATATATGTAATAACCAATTATTGATAATCATTTCATTGTATATACTTTATTTAATCAATAGCTTATCACTATGCATACTTTCTTCATAATATCCTTCATTTGGACTATTTAATAAGTTGAAATGATTGTCAACAGTTAATATGTTACTACTGTTTTTACTTCTGAATTTAATAATGACAATTAATAATAATGTTTCGCGAACGAACACTTCACTGAAGATTCTGGGTTGGAATCCAGCGAGACTAGATCGTGGATGCGCACTGTTGCTAAGTAGTCCCACGATAGGAAGAAACGACTGTTATACTGTTTTAACTTGATATTATATGTTCAGTATAATATAGAATTTTGAGTATACATTGTTGTCACGAGTTTTTCTAACTTATTACAGATCACAATTAATAACCATAAGAGAATAAACGATCTAAAATTAAATTAAATATCTCTGAAAAATGTTACGAATTTATATGATTATGAATAGACAACATGTTCCCGAGTATAAGTTTTAGATTACACCAGCTCTTATAATAACCTGTTTATCGCATAAGATATTTTCCTAGATACAGTATTGTAAAAGTTCCCATATTTTTGGTTCATCAACACGGATTCTAATGTATTGAGATTTCGCTCTACTGGAATGATCAAAAACGTTGTAGCGGTAAATAAATCGCCAAAATAAATAGCTTTGTAAGTTTTCGACATTGGATGCTGACCACATGTTTGAATGGACTCACCTAGCTGAAGGCGCTCGGTCATGCATCCGCACCAGATCACGAGTAAGAACGCCGTGCTCAACAACCCCTGCAATCGCTAGCCAGATTAGATCAAACGATTCTCGATATATTGAGCATATCAAATATATCTTCGAACTTCCTCGCTTTTGTCTTTTGATTTCACTTGGTGGGTACGCTTCATATTAGAAGATGTTACTGGTTAAAGCGTTGTCAAACTCTGAATACCTGTGGCATCTTCAACGTGTAAGTAATGCATATCATTTACTTTCACAGATCACGTTTTTGTAGTCATAGTATACTGTCACTCAGTGTATTCATTCTTTGATTAAAAGAAACAGACATCTCTTTTACATCACAATTGACATAAGTTGACAATGTCATATGAGAATATCTGTATCCTTCCTGAAACTTAGTTGGATAACAGGGTTGATGAGATTTCTACCATAAATGATGTGAATCATATCGTTTAGCTTATAAAAAAAAACATAATCGTCACCTATCTTAGGGATTGATACTTTACTGATTATTTGAATCAAGTTGTTTATGAATCATCTATATTGTTGAAATAATTACTTGATCTCATTGTTTCATTCAATGATATCACCACGATATACAGTAACTCAACTGTTTTAGTTTTACTAATTAAGACAGATTAACCTATAGCATTTTGTTTTCTCTGAACTGGACATTTCACAAGGATTATATATAGAGGATATAAATGAAGTCCAATATGAAAATTATAATCATATTAGCTAATAACAAGCAACCTATTAAGCTCATATTCTTTATAATTATGTCTAATGATCCATGTTTGCGTAATATATCCCTGAAAAACGGTAAATTATATTCTAATTTTTCTGTTTATGTCAATAATCTCACTTTGATAAGTCATCATCCTATGACTGTTTTTGACTGAGATCATGAACCGATTGATGTTAAACCACCATTGAAAACCTGGAAGCACTGGACAGCCGTTCCGTCCTAGTATGGGACTCCTCAGCAGTGCGCATCCACGATCCCGCTCGCGGGATTTAAACCCAGAGCCTTCAGTCTCGCGCACGAACGCCTAGCTTACCAGACCACTGAGCCGGCATCTAATGGTGTTAATGTCTAACCTCAACCAATCCATGAAATTGGGCGACCATTTTCCATTTTACTGAGGTAGACACCTGTCTCTACCCGACACGGATTAGCTCCACTGGTCACGGCTTCTGACCAGAACTCCGAGAATTTTCTCACGAAGCTTGTCTAACATCAATCGATTCATGATCTCAATTAAAAAAAACTTAACAATCTCCACAACCATTATACTATGACTGTTTTGTTGTGTAAATTCAGAATCCGACTATTACATATAGTATACACATCAAAAAACCAAACCTTTGTATATAGAAAAAGATTATATAGCCTTTGAATCCATCTTGGCCTTCTATTTAGATATTTTTATACGTTTCAAAACTTTGCTTTCTCTTCCTTTAAAACATTTTCGGAAATACGATTTTATTAACATTCTAATTTTGACCCAAATAGGATGAAACGCTGATCCTAGATTACACTGCTAGCCACTATCCATCTTTGCTTAGAATGCTTGTGAATTAAGGCAATATCGAGGCAATACCTACAATATGCACATATACCAACAAGAGACTGATCAATTACAGTCCTAAACATCAATGAGAAGATTCAAGTAAAACAATACCAAGTGAAGCTAACTAGAAAGTATTAGAATTTCTGCTTTACATATATCCAGTGAATAAAAATTAGGTTTTAAATATATATGTGCAAATCAGTAAACTGATTAAACCATATTATGACCAAATTATTCTCATTTAAAACATGACGATTGTTCAGTTTAACGACAATTTAAATTAAAGACCCTTCAATCATAGGAAAACAGGATGAGATCAGACCACTTTTAGTTCTAATATCTGATGTATATAATGACAATCTTAATAGAGATTGAAACTAGGATATGTAAACCTTAAGTTGAATACTTGTGAAAGTTTATTTAAAGATCAATCTAAATATTCTACAACTATCATTGATTCTAAACACTTTTCCAGTAATATTATGGTATGGACAGATATAAGTAGTATGTAACTTGGATGGGAAATTGTAATGCTTGCCAGAAGAAGATTGAAATATATAGAAAAGATAAGAAAATAGATAGCGATTGGTATAACGACAGGATTATAGGAATGATGATGTATGTATATGACGAATAAAGGAAAATATGCAAATGATTTATTTAATGTATGATTTCAATATTTTAGCAGGCTGCCGTTTGATTTAGCGTAAATTAATAAATTTGATTATCACACTTGAGTTTCAGTTCAATATACTACTATTATTATTATTATTACTATTACTACTACTACTACTACTACTACTACTACTACTACTACTACTACTACTACTACTACTACTATTACTACTACTACTACTACTACTACTGCTACTACTACTGCTACTACTACTACTACTACTACTACTACTACTACTACTACTACTACTACTACTGCTACTACTACTGCTACTACTACTACTACTACTACTACTACTACTGCTACTACTACTGCTACTACTACTACTACTACTACTACTACTACTACTACTACTACTACTACTACTACTACTACTACTACTACTACTACTACTACTACTACTACTACTACTACTACTACTACTACTACTACTACTACTACTACTACTACTACTACTACTACTACTACTACTACTACTACTACTACTACTACTACTACTACTACTACTACTACTACTACTACTACTACTACTACTACTACTACTACTACTACTACTACTACTACTACTACTACTACTACTACTACTACTACTACTACTACTACTACTACTACTACTACTACTACTACTACTACTACTACTACTACTACTACTACTACTACTACTACTACTACTACTACTACTACTACTACTACTACTACTACTACTACTACTACTACTACTACTACTACTACTACTACTACTACTACTACTACTACTACTACTACTACTACTACTACTACTACTACTACTACTACTACTACTACTACTACTACTACTACTACTACTACTACTACTACTACTACTACTACTACTACTACTACTACTACTACTACTACTACTATGGTTATGCTTGGGTATTTAGGAGAAAAGATTTGAGTTTGCATAAAAAAACGATATCATATTTTATTGTTGTGTGGTAACAAGAGACAATATCTGATCAATTCATTCATAAAATATACATAGTATACCAGGCTAAGGTATGTTTCAACATTAAGGGTTTCACTTTAGAACTTAAAAATAATATCTATTTTCATGATGCATATAAATTATAGGGAATAAACTGAACATCTAACACATTTGAGATAATCACTTTTACTCTAAGTTGCTATAAAGTAGTTTGTTTTTCTCTAACATTTAAAACATAAACAGCATACAGTATCGCTTCTATCATTCATTTCCTCGTAATAGATCAAGTAATGCGTTCACAATTATGATTGACTTGTCTTTACACTATACTTACTTATTTACTTACGCCTGTTACTCCTCGTGAAGGAGCATAGGCCGCTCACCAGCATTAGCCCTCCGACCCCGTCCCAAACAATCCTTTCTAGCTCCTTCCAGTTCTTATTCATCCTTTTCATATCTGCTTCGATTTCCCGACATAATGTGTTCTTTGGCCTCCCAGTTTTCCGTTTCCCTTCAGGATTCCAAGTTAAGGCTTGTCTCGTGATGCAGTTTGATGATTTGCGTAATATGTGTCCTATCCATTTCCATTGTCTTTTCCTAATTTCGTCTTCAGTTGATAGCTGGTTTGTTCACTCCCACAGAAGGCTGTTGCTGATGGTATTAGACCAATAGATGTTGAGTATCTTGCGTAGACAGCTATTTATAAATACTTGTACCTTCTTGATGATGGTTGTTGTAGTAGTTCTCCAAGTTTCAGCTCCTTACAGTAGAACTGCCTTTACACTATACTTTAAACCAAAAAACAAAAAAATAACACAATCATTAATGTTTTGAATAAAGTTTTCTCAATTGTAACTGACCTCTTAACTAAGAAATATTTCTATCCTATCATCAAAAGTCTAGGGTACATTACGAAAACAAACCGTGATGTATATATACGTTATTAAATGAGAGTATACAGTTTAAATTATGCAAATAACTTTCAACCTAAAGACTAAACAAACGTTGTCGTTGTTGTTGTTGTAGTTGTTGTTTTATTTCATTTTTTCATCCTTATCAATGAAAAAAAAGTTTTTTTCCTTCTTTCGTTAAATCCCTTTTATTTATCGCATTGATTTAATCAATTCAAATGGAAAAATTTATTGATGACAAACCATTTTTGTTGTTGCCGTTGTTGTTGTTCTTGTCGTCGTCGTTGTTGTTGTTGTTGTTCTGCTTCTTCTTCTTCTTCCTCTTCTTCTTCTTCTTCTTCTTCTTGTTCCTTTGAAAAATGATATGAGGTCTGAAAATAATAAAATCAGATAATCAAAAAGGGAATGAGTGATGATTTTATACATTTGAAACAAAACACAATGATTATCATCTATTTACTATATTGATATCAAAGGGAAATTTAATTTACATGAAATAATAATTGTTATATTAGTGCAGAGAATAGGGAGGAAGGAGGGGGAGAGAAGGCATGTGAAAGTTGTTGAATAGGATTGAGATCGTAAACAGTTAGACAAACTATTATATCTAGAAAGTACTCAACAATGTATTCATCCTTGAGTGAGATTTTAAACTATTGAACATAGAGGACAAAACTACAGAGGGTTAAACACAGGAAATGTGATCTGGCGACTAAAGATCGATATTTATGCAAATGAGTCGGTATCCAATTGCAAATAACTGCCAATAATATGTAGCTATATAGCTAAAACATTGAGAGTAGTTTCCTTTACCCGTTATACGATGTAAATCTAACAGTTATCAATTCACCCTCATCAAAATTTCATCTCGTAAATAAATATAATTCAAAAACAAAGTGTATACTTCACTAAATATTTCATTTCAAAACACTTACAATTATTTGGAAGAAAACTGCTGTGAACACGTCACTACGATATAACTCAGCATAATAGACAACATACATACATTCAATACAATTTATAAGTCAAATCAAATGTCCATTCAAATTACACTCCCATTTGACATATTCAACAATCAAAGAAAAACATCACAATCATTAGAATTCCTCAATCAATCAAACACACAAACACACACATCGAACATGGAAAACAATACACATTCAATTATCAGTTCGCTTATTCTCATTTTGAACTATTCGACTAATATCAACAAAACTATTTGTTCTATTGAATTGTGAATGGATGAATTGCATTCAATTACATTTTTTGTTTGTTCAATGGGCAAAAGTGTGTGAATGATGGATTATCGAAAATGATGTTGATCATTCTCAAATGTTGATTGATATATACAGATAAAATGACTGGAGTTGTGTTACATTGAAAGAGTGATGAAAATATCATGTGGGTGAGAAGTAATACAACACAGTGTATGATGATAATCACTGAACAATAAATAATTGATGCTTAATGAATGTAGAGTGTAATAGTAAACGCTTTTCATTGTGTGTTTGGTAGAATGATTTGAATCATTCTGTCTACTTCAAACATATCCCACTCTTAAATGACAATTCTTGTTATTTCTATATGGACATTCATATCAGGACTAGTATAGTCAACATGGTTATCACTACACTGCTCACTGTGTTTTCAGATATATCTCCAACAATATCCATTCACAAATATATTTCATTCAAACAATGTAATTATTCTTTTGATTATTGAATATGAAATGGTAAACGATGGGTTCTTTTGAACAGTATTTCAAATTTGTTATATCGTGTTATAAATACAGATGAATGCACATAATCTGACATTTATATGAGTTAAATCTTATGAGAGAAATAACTTTTATAAGATTACAGGTAAGCTCTTCTGACTCTTAGAATCTTGCATAAAACCCACTTCCAAGCTTTCCTTTTAAATACCTAACAACTGAGAATACTGGTTATTCTTAGTAGTTGTACTGAAACTACTAGTCATTAATTGTCATCAGTTGTCTCCGAATCAAATCAAATCATTTTTCTTTCTCATTTATTCCACATTCTTCTCAATAATTTAACAAGTGATTGCCACTTTTTTTCATAATCTTTATTTAGTAGACTAAAGGAAGGCAAATATTCAACATTCTTATGTTACATATTGTTTTCATTCATCTTCTTATCACGTACTTACTCTGGATAAATTGACTTATTTAACCTTCCATTACAATTTCATTGCTCTTATATCTTGTGACTGTGTAAACTTTGTCACTCTGACTGACTTTATTTCTATTTCTTGTTTGTTGTGATTTATTCACACTTCCTCACTTACTCACTCACTCACTCACTCACTCACCAACTCACCTATTCAATGACTACTTCTCACTTGTTTATTTTTCGTACTCATCAAGTAGGGTTTTTACATTAGAAAAACTATGAGATTATTGTAATCACATTTAGAGACTTTTTTTAAAAGAAATAACTAACAGAAACTCTGTGAAAGATACTATAATAAACGATAAAAAGCATCAGATAGATATTATCAAGTGAATCGGTAAGTTACAGTTTATGTGTATTTAAGTATGTATTCATGTTAGCATGTAAGATGTTTGAATACTATTTGAATATTTACCAATGGTTAATATAACAATTAGTAACAGTAGGTCTCACCGTACACAAAAGGAAAAGCAAGATTCTCCAATACAACACAACATGCACCAATCCAATCACACTTGCTGGAGAAGATCTGGAAGATGTAAAAACTATGATATATCTGATAAACACGGTGAATCTAATGCAGATATGAATGCGCGTATCGGCGAAGCAAGAACAGCATATCTACAATTGAAGAACATCTGCAAATCAAAACAACTGTCTGTCAACCAACATCAAAGCCACAATTTTCAATACAAATGTCAAGACAATTCTACTGTATGAGGCAGAAACTTTCAGCATTATGCAAGCCATCATCCAGAAAATACAAGTGTTTATTTACAGTTGTCTACCTAACATACGTCGGATCCATTGTCTGGACACTATCAGCAACAACCTACTATGGGAGAGAGAAAATCAGATCCCAGTGGAGGAAGAAATCAGAAAGAAGAGCTGGAAGAGAATAGGACACATATTGAGGAAAGCACCCAAGTGCGTTGCAAGGCAAGCCCTCATATGGAATCCTCAATGCCAAAGGAGGAGAGGAAGACCAAAGAATATATTACATCGAGAAAAGGAGGTAGACATGAAAAGAATGAACAAGAATTGGATAGAACTAGAAAGGAAGGCTGAGGAGAGAGTGGTTTGGAGAATGCCGGTCGTCGGCCTATGTTCCATTGGGAGTAACAGGCGTAAGGATGTAACATAGAAATTAGTTTGAGTTGAATAATTATCAAAAACTTGTAACAATTGACAGAATAAATGGTCAAAACGTTTTCCTAATTGATTCAAACTAAATAACATTCCTGTTGTATCTTTATGCCTCGCTAATTATCACGTAATCTATTCGCAATCAAAATACGACTTATTCGCTCTTACACTGTACTATAAGAATATATAGATAATATTAGTCCATTAATAGGTCTCAGAATTTACTTGTAATTTAATCTTCACTAGGATATAACAATTCCAACCAATGATCATTATATTACTGAAACTGTGATTCATGATGATGTTAAATCCCGACAAGAATAATAAATGGTAACTTTCAGGATCTTTTGATGGACCAATACTAAACGTAAATTTCTATTGTATAATTATTAAGTAACTAAACTATGCATATTCATATTCCTTTTATTATAAGCTTTATTTTGACCCATAAATTATTATTATACGTTTTACCATTCCTGAGTTATACCCAGTATATTAATTACCACCTCCCTCATTCACAGCCACATCTGGCTAATTCTTGTACAAATGTTGTTTCATATTTTATTGGTACGTTGTAGTCTGTTTGATTGGTATATAAACTCAGTATGTTTGAAATATAAGGATTCATATCACAGAGACTGAGACTTGTATTCTGGACTTAACAGGCAGGGCTAGGCATGAAGCAGGGTCAATCAGGACTCTAGGCTGCTCATGCGGG